CAGTTAAGTGCATATCTCCTAAGTTAGACATAGTGTGTTGCTCCTAAAGTTATGCCAGGTTAGGTTATATTAGTGTTTACTTTCTCTTGTGGTCACTTTCTTTTGGAGATATGCTCTTAACCACTACCAACAGTATTTCCATTATAGCCTATGTTCATTCTTCCCTGGCATCATCTTATAGATAACCAGTCTGCTGGATTAAGAAAAAATCACCATGGAGAGCAGATAAAATGTAGTAGACATATTTTTGATAGCACTTCATAGTTTGCATTGGCCAAAAAGTCAGATGTTTGGGTCTTCTCTAGAATGTTTCATGGATATGCTGGACATATGAGTTGATGGGCATTAGCAAATGCTAACTTGAGATCTGAACAGGTATTTTGGTAGAAATGAGCCCTTATTACATATATAGCATCTGATCTATTGAAAGCCTGTCTCACATGGTACTTAAAAGTAAAATTGTCTTCATCAACTCACTATTGAGTGGGAGGCTCCAGTTGCATTGATCCTTGAGGGCTCATGTTGGTTCATATATATGTTTTTTGGCTTATCAGTACTATTTCTTAGGGATCCTCTGACTGCACGATCATGCTTTTTATTTGCTGTAATGTGAGAACAATAGGTTTAGGCTTATTTGCATCAATTGCCAAATAGGGAAAATATTCTATCACACTGTGTCCATTCATTTCCTGGAAACAAACGGCTATGGGTGATGTGGAAAGAATCCAATATTCACTTGTTCTACCTCTGCTTTTACATAACCATTTCCTGTAAAGTAGCAATATACAGATTGATAAGTTCCAACATCATTTTGAAATTTCATGTATTTTTTTCTGTGAAAAAACCTGTGAAAATTGGAAAGTGAAAATGGATGAGGAACTTTCATCACTTCAGAGTGACCAGTGTCTACACAAATATTGTGACTATGCAATATTTGCCTCCTCATTCAGCATGAACAAGGAGAAAATGTATGAAACTTAGAGCAAACTCTCTCCAGTAACTCTTTCAAGCACTATGGTATTAAGCACAAACCACAATTATTAGCTGCTCTGCAAAACCATGGGCTCCAACTTTTTATAAATAACATTTACTGATTTTTATGTTACCTTTGACTGTGTGAAAGCTAATTTTAATATTTAAAAGTTGAAAAATAAAACTTATGCTCCTGAGGCAATTTTTGAAATTTAAATTCCATGATTGAAAGAGTAAATTCAGTCATCAATTGAAGAAAAGGCTTCAAAACTATATTAAATAAAATGCCAACCCAATATGAGTTGTTTGACAGGTGCTGGACAATATGCAACAACAGTATGAAGGTATTTTCCCCTCCACTTCCAGGGTAGGGTCCTGTCCCATTTCAGTATCCAGCTCCTTTTTAACACACTCACTCCCAGTGACTGCAGAACAATATGGGTTTTAAAATGTAATATTACGGTTTCCTGCGTCAATGTGTTAAGTAATTGCCTAAATTCGTGTCTTGGCACAATGAGTTTGAATGAAATTTCTATATAACAGTGGAAACATTTCAGCCAATGGACATTGCAAGTTCTTGTGTAAGTAATTCCAGGAAGAAGAGAGATTTGTTGGTTAAAAGTCATGGGCATAATTTTTGCCATACCCTGTAGGATAATGTGAATGAGCAGGAGAGATTGCAGCACAATGATTAATTTGGATTCTCTAAGGTGATCAAGCAATCTGTGAAATATTGTAGTGTAGGTGTGGGTTGTAGTGTAGAAGTGAGGTATGTAAGTTTGCATGATGGTGCCACTCAGTACTCATGCTAAAAGACCTGCCTACCCTGATGTGTCTCTGTTTATTAAGTTGTATGTATGCTTAGTTGACAATGGTACTATCCAAGTTTTTGGAGAATTGCTGGCAATTGAAAAGGATTTTGGACATTTCTTTAGCACCATTTGCAATTCATAAATGTATGATAGATGGATCTAGAGGTGAAATCAATCTTGAGATCCCCTAAATTAATACATGTTTGACTGGCACATTAATTTAAAAAAAGGGAAAGTACTCTAAGGTAACTGCTCTTGATCTGCTTTGTTGGTTTTTGTGCACAAGCATCGCCATGTTATCCTTATCTCATTTGGAGAAGATTTTATGTTTGAAAAGGAGGTTTTGTGTGTTTTTGATCCTATCTTAGGAAAGTTATGGCTCAAATCAATCTTTTCTGAGTGCATGGAGATATGTGATTGCAGCTTCACTCCACACTGCTTGATAGTGGGACTGCCAACTTTAATCGCGATTAAATCTTTAATCGCGATTAAAAATTAATGGAATTTTTATCACCCCTCAAATCTCCCCCTGTATGCCTGCTTCTCTCTTCCAATTTAACTGCATATTGCGCAGTTCCCCGGTGAAAGAAAAATGATTTTTTTTTTTTCGTGGCCGGAACTCAATGAAATGATGGCTTGAAGACGGTTTTTTGAGCGGAGCACTCTTCAGCAAACAAAGGTGGCGTCTTTCTTTCAAAGAGGGGAGCGCAATAATTAGGTCTCCAGATAATGCAAAAGAAGAGAAGGCCTCGTGAGAAGATGAGAAAGAAAGCCATTGTGCCATGTCTAATCTATTCTCAGCTGTTAATGTTGTCTCAGCCAGTCGCAATACTTGCGGGGAAACGGGTTAACCGGACGTAATGAGAACAACGTTAAAGAATAGTTCATCCTGTCTGCTTTCCAAAGGCATCCAGTTATCACGCAGCGCGATAAAAAGCCACGCCGAAATGCTGGAGGGGGGGGGGGGGGGGGGAGGGGGGTTCGTTGCAAGGGGAGGGGGGGGGGGGGGGGGGGGGGGGGGATAGGGTGTTACGTTCCAGAACACGAATTTTCATCCTAGTATGCTTTTCCTCTTCTGCTCCGATCTGTCTCCTTTACAAGCACGAAATCGAGATGCTTCGAGGCATGGCTTATCGAAAACCCGAATCGCCTTTATCTCCCTGCAATCGACTCATGCTCGCGTGGGACGTCACGGTGCCCGCACGCCAACGCGGGTCGGCGAGGATGGTTTCACTTTCGGCGCGGATTTTACTCGCTCGCTCAAAAGCGGAGCGGATCCTTATCGGTTGCATGCTTCGTGATACGGATCCGTTCTTGCTTGGATGAAGGCTTTCACACCCGTATTAATAAGAAAATGGCCCGACAGCGCGGAAAAATCCCATCAAGCTGGCTTTAAACGGGTCGGCTTTCGAGAATGTGATCCTATTGAAAGTAACGAGATATAATTCTATCGTTCTAGCGACATAAAAAAGCACTCAGTTGGTGTCCGGCCGCCCTAATGAGAGTTTTCTTCGAGTTATTAGATAATGAAACCACGAGAAAACTGTGGTCTCCGGATGCGATAGATTCGTCAAACTTCATTTGTGGCAGGATCGACAGGCTCGGAAGCCAATATCAAATGCAGCAACAGGGTCATTACGAGTGGCGAAGGCGAGTTCTTGTCAAGAGACGATAGGGAAGGAAGGGGAAGGGGAATGAAGGAAGAAAGAGAGATAATAACAGAAAGTGATAGGAGAGTCGAGAACGATCCCCCCCCCCCCCTCCTTCGTTCTCCCTCCGTATCAGTGCGCAATGTACGAATGCTTCTCTCTCTTCTTTTTTACCCTAGAGGCTGTCTGGATGCCGAAGGAGAACAGACAGAATGTAATTCCCCCCAACACCCTCGTTTCCATCAGCACCAAAAATCCTTCCACTCGGGGCCGACCTGATGCCGGGCACGTATAGGGACGGCAGCGGTCGCTCGGAAATGGTATATAATGGTATATATTATTGGGTTACGCCCACCAGATGGGTTAAACCGAAACAAATTGGATTTCATAATGGTCTCCAATGGGAATCGGTTTAATGGAGATTTCCCACACTCAAGGAGGAAAGTAGGGGGTCTATTAAAATTCGATTAATCGACCAGATGGCTCAAGTGGTCAATCAAATGGTCAATTAACAGCCTAACTCAAATGTGAAAAATTGTCATGGATACTTGAAATTTACTTTGGAAGGATTAGCCTATCAGTGGAAATTGCTCAATCTTCACAGCAAGCGGACAGTCATCGTAAATTCGCAAAGTTTGAACGTCGTGCCGGAAAGCACGATGTTCGAAATTTGCTAAAATGTAAGAAAAATGTTACTTCTTACCTGCGACGCAGTATCGCGCTCTAGTAATACGACAGTGTCTCAAAAATGTTAGCCATCCGATATCTTGCAAGGCTCATGCACTTCTGCGCCCCGCCATTTCAGGCGAATTAGTAAGAATCCTGCCAATCGTGAAAGAATTTCCCCTGGTGCCTCAAATCCGATACGGTTTCAAAGTAGAAGTATCGAAAGTCAGGGTGAAGGAGCAATCCGCACTCGGCTTCTTGCCACTTTGGCCCTCTCCAAAGTGACAGCACCGGCGGCAGGCAGTTTCATCAAGAAATTGTTACTGATATTTTTCATTTATCGTGTTCTTGACTGAGGACTGATTTTCCCTCAGCCTCAATAGTCTCCGCTGTTCGGGTTCCACGTTTTCTGCACTTTCAGCAATTTTTTCTCAGCAACTTGAAATCGGGACCACGGCATGACTTTTTCCTCAAAAAAGAAAAAAACATTTTTTTTTTTCTCCTTGAACGGGCGAGAGCTTCCCTTCATCTCTCTCAAGCCTTTGATGAAGTGCTTGTCCACTGAATCCCATGATGTTCCTTGTAAAATTGAATACCCTGATTCATTACGCGACAAAAGCTGTAAGAGGTTAAGCCTGAAACCTAAAAAATAATGATGATAGAAAAAAATCATCCTGAACGCAAAGTAGCAGGGAAAACACAGGGTAAGAAGTATCAAGAACCAGTTTCTGCTCTGAGACAACCTGCTGCCTCCAACACGAGACAGTCGTGTTTGAAGGCACCGAAGGGATGCACTCGGCGAGGAGCAGTGATCTGCTTTTTTTTTATTCCTTGCAATTTTTGATACTTCAAGTTAGAGGTTTTATTAAACGTGGGATGAAACTTTCTCATGCATTGGAGATTTCATGAAAACATGAATCATGAAAGTTGGATGGAGGTATTTAAAAAAATATAGTCGCCTCTCTTCCCCCCCCCCCCCTCTTTTACTTCTTTTGGGAGACACGATGTAGATGTACTTGCTTAAATCTTCTTCCTCCAAGCCAGAATGGGACAGGAGGCATGTGCCCCCTACGAAGTATAAGCAATAACCTGTGACAACTGTTTCACGTAACTGTTATGTTGTTTGGTCTATTTCAAGGTTCTAGGGCAATTCATGTAGAGCAGAAGCGTGGGGAGATTGGCCATCATGGACCAGGGGCAGAAATTGAAATCTGTCAACAGAATCTTAATGCCACTGTTGCCGGCAGTCAACTTGATTCCTGCTAAAGGGTCCCTTAATGGTGAAAATGTGGCATTGTCAATGGCAAACAGTTCTTTCTTGCCCCGAAAGGCACAAGGCACAATGAATTTTGCAACTGTTGGTAATGTTGCCAGTATCTTGAGTACAGAAATCCCCACTACCATTATTCGACCTCCTGTAGTATCTGCTCAAAACCAAGTGGACTTTGGCAATCCTGGATCTACCTTCATGATCTCTCTCCCCAAAGGAACTACTTGCAATACAAATGCATCAAAGCCAAAGATGTTCAATGCTGCAAGTGAAAGTTCTTCAGGTCAGTTCCTAGGTCTACTTGAGAACATAAATGATCTATAGAATTTATATATGCTTTAAGTTAATTCTTAGTTCTGTCAATTTTTGAAAAGAGAATCACTTGTAGATTTCAGATGAAGTACCTTTATTTCACTGCATGGGAAAATGAGCCTTTTCCTATAGATGGAGAGAGTTGCAAATTTTGAATTTTAAAACATCCTGTTTCATGTGGATGGATGTCTGCTGGTCAATTTATATTGAGCCCTTCAACTCAATCAGCCTATTTTTTTTTAATCATCTTGCTTCTAGCATCAGAGATGCCCTTGAAGTGAGCATATGGTAAGAGCCTGCCCAGGTAATTTATGATCGTTTATTTGTTCGCAAATAGGCCCTCTTCTCCCGGGGTGTGATGAGGTTGACCTTTTCCAGTGTGGAAAATGCAAGAAGCAATTCTTCAACCTCAGTGATTTCATGCTCCATAAGAAAGCCTGTAGAGGTGAGATTCTTAAGTATTCATCAAAATAGCTGTTTTTGCATTTTGTTATTATATCTGTCTGCTGTGTGAAAATCTGGGTCCTATCTTACATCTCTGTAACATATCTCATCTGTAATGGGAGAAATCCAGATTTAAAACACAGGTCCTGGTATGTTTTTCATGTGAAGTACTGTATGCTTATAACCTTTGTGACATCTGTCATAGAAGTTCAAATGAGTTACGCATCTCCTTACAGGAATTTTGGGTTTGGAAAGGATGAACAAGTCATCCATTGATTTCCAAGAGGAACAGTATTCATCTCAAACTGGAGGTCCCTGTGGGCAGTCTTCACCAGATTCAGAGTTTGCTGTGGATGCATCTAATCAAGTCCCGGTAAGTATGTGGAAGAGAATCTGATTTTTGTGTCATCAAAAAGAAAAAGGAAAAATTCCATAATTCCAGTAAACTAGGTCTCCTAAAAATCGATTTATATGATTCTAAATAGGTGAGAGGCATGTTTTTTCTTTCTATCCATGGAAAATTTTCATACCCGGCTATCCAATCTCAGTAAGGTACATGTTAGGCACTGTACTAGTATATAGGCAAAGTTTATATTTTTATATCCTTGAAGTATGTATATTGATGCTTTTTTACTAAAAAAAAAATCTCTCCACTTAAGCTATATTTCTACAGATGGATTCTGAGGCACTCAATAATCATCTTGATTTGTATCTTTGTAACCTGGCATTGTGGATTTTGTATAATTATCAAATGCAAAAGATGTATTATGCCTTTGGCTCTGAAAAGGCTATGACATGGGACCCATTGTTGTCTCTGCATGCATGAGTACCAGGGTGAAAGCATTGGAAAGGTAATTCATAACCAGTGCTTTGTAAATGTTAAAGAAGTGTGAGTGGTTGATTCATGAAAATAATGTATGCTATACTTTTTATATTTTTGCTAGAAGTATTTCAAGCTAGAAGTATTTCTTGCACATATACACAAAATTAACAAAATCTATTTTCCCAGAGCTGGTACTTCCTGTAGAATCATAATTCTGCCAATGTTGCTTTCAGTGGAATGCTGATAAACTACACAGAGCTTCAAATTTCTGGAATGTCCTTCATAAATTTATGCAACTGTCTCATTGAAGTGAAGAGTTGAATAAAAATGCAGGGAAATATCTTTCATTGGGATCTGTTATGCCATAGGGGAATGGCTAGCACTGAAAAATACTTTGGCAATAGTCTGAGAATAACTCAGAAGTAACACCTCGGATCTTTGTCAATGCTTCTTAAAATATCCATTTTCCTCCCAACAGGAAGACGAGTTGATATACTCTTCCACTGAAGATGGTGCACAAGTTTCACAGCATCTGGTATTGACAGAGACTGACATTCAGGCCTTGAATTTGGATATAGATTCTGCTGCACTTATGAATGGCTCGGTATGTAAGACAGAACTCTTCATTTATTCTTTTCCAGGATTTTCAGGATTTTGCAAATTGGTGATGTAAATGAGGTTAAGCAGATTTTGGAGTGTGACTTGTTACCTGGCGTGTTAGTTAAAAGCAAAGAAAACTGGCATGCTTGTACAAAGTGAGGATAAGTTTTTTTTTTGTTTGCATGTCTGCAGAAACAAGATTGAAAACATTAGGCCTGTATCCAGTCAGGCAGAGCAAGGGGATGAGTTCATGTCTTGAATTGGAATCCACAGCATAGAGGTTCAATTCAGACTGGTACCAGAGATGCAGAAAGCAAAGCCTCTGCCGTATTTCAAACTTGGCCTCAACTTAGATTTCGGGAAGCATTTAGTATTTCACAGAACTCAGTATAAGCATTGGGGAACCTTCTTATTTCATTCTTCACCTTGTAAAAGGCTGTCATAAGGTAATTTTTCAGTCCTGGAAACAACCTTACTTTTTGCCAGCATGATTACATTGCTGTATTATGCAGGGTAATGCAGTATCAATTCTCATGCCTTGATTTCACAAATTGAGTTTCATTCTGATTAGGGACATGTTGGGGGAGGTGGGAGTGTTTGAGGCTTGAACCTTAAACCTCTCTGTTTGATTAAGTTATGCATCCCTTTTTTTTCTTCTCAAAGCTAGTTGTTTCTACTACAGCCTTTCTGCCTTTTGGAAAATCCTAGTCATATTCTTAATTCTGAGATTTTGTTCTAAAACTTCCCAAGGAGTGGCATTGACACAAATCTAATGTGTAGTTCCATATTCCTACATTGCCAGTGTATGGTCTCATTCTTTCTGTAGGTGGAGACTACATTCACGATAGCACCAGATGGTACTGTTAGCATCAGGGCTCCTCCTGTGATGCCAATCATGATGGTGAGAACAATTCGCTCTTCATACATGCAAAAAACTGTAGTTTGTAGCTGGAACATTTTGAATAGTAGGTATTTGTGTTTGAGTTGGCATCACAGAACTGTTATGTAAGTCATAAGTTTGTACCATAGTAATGATACATTGGAGGTGACATTACATCTGAAGGATGGTTATGCCCTGAACTCCCATGTCATGCAGACTCTCAGATGATCTGATTTTGCTAACTTTGGACTAACTTGGAAACCATGTGGTGAATCAGTCACAGAGCAACCTGTGAAGTATTTTGTACAGTGTAGGAATACTGTTGCTACATTAAACCTGTACAAGGTGTTTGTATATAAACTCAACATAGGTAATATAAGTTGTGTGTGGAGTTTGGCAAATGTTCACCTCATTGCAGATTTGTGACTTGAATCCCACTAGTTAACTAATTGCTTGATATTTCAGCATGGTTTTGTGTGCAACCAGGTTGACCTTGCTGAATTCTACAAAAAGGCAACTAATATCACCTGTATTGCATTTTAGAATTTTTTTTTTAGAATTTAGAATTTAAAACACCTGATATCTTACTCTGACTCATTACCTTGGATGTCCTTTCAGTTGAATGAAGGATTCCTGGAGGTAGCTGCAGGAGTTGGAGCTGGAAGTCTGACTGCTAATTCAAATTCCTGTCAGATAGGGTCCAGATCAGATCTGATAAGCTCTGTTACTGTTCTCCAGGATGATAAAGGATTTGATGAATCCAGTGATCAGTCTACACATTCCAATCATGGAAATGTAGACAGGGTGAGATGAGGGCTTATCATTTGCCTTTCTTATTTTTCATCTGGCAATTGTTCAGTTTTTGTATTCATGTGAGGATACCATGTTTTTCTTATTTTGCAGAAGAAATTCCAGTGTCCAGTCTGTCAGAAGTCATTTTCAAAGAACTTTGATGTAAAACAACACTTGAGGACTCACACAGGAGACAAACCGTTCCAATGTGTAGTGTGTGGTCGTGCTTTTGCTCAGAAATCAAATGTTAAGAAGCATATGGCTAGTCACAAGGTGTGGCCAAATACTTTGAGGAAAACTTTGCCTGTCCAACCAATTCGTAAGATCAAGATGCCTCTACCACAAGGAACCACAAACAACTCTCCAGTAGTTCGTTTTCGTACAGTGGAAACAGTGGCACCTGGGGTGAGAGTCTACACTGGTTTCTGTATGTCTTCATCCTCTTCATCTTTTCACTGTTTGGTAATTCTCATTGTATTTGTTTCAGTTGAGAGTGACTTCAGAGGAGAAAGACAATGGTGTTGTTCATGTCATTGTGGACAACTCATACATCTGCCAGTTTTGTCAGAGTAATTTCGCATCCTACAACGAAATGAAGAAACATATGCAAATTCATGCCAAGGACAAGGTAAGACAATTCTGTGAATAGAAATATATATATATTTCCATATCAGTGGTGAAGATGCAAGACCACATATCTCCTATTTATAAAGTTGGAGATATGTGGTCTTTACCATCGATATGCCTTTCACCCCCTTCATCATCATGGGCCATCCCATGGCCCAAGCTGTACTGGTCTGATGTACTGATTAAAAAGTTTTGCCTGGGCACTTTTTGAATGAATGATAGGCTTGTCTCATCAGTCCAATATTTAGCTTGATTCTTTTTGTCTCCTAGGTGTATTGTTGCATCCAGAAAGACTGCAAACATACAACATCAAACTTGGAGGAGTTTCTGAATCATGTCCATGGTCATAAGGAAAACATGGAATATCATTGCCATGACTGTGGAGAAGTTTTCACATCACTCTCGCAATTGGGGCTTCATCAGAGGAATGAACACCCACCAAAACTGCCTTCTTCTGATGAAAAGACTGTACCGTGCGTAGCTATCTCTTTTTTCTCTATTAGATGAAGTACCATATTCTTTCTGCACACCTTAAAGTGATACCCAAGGGTCTTCCCTGTGAATACTACTTGAGTGAACAGAAGGGTTTATTTTGTGGTGTGCTTAGAAATGCTTTCTTCTCCATTGTCTCTTTGATTCTAACTCACATACAAAGTAAATTGAGGCTTGTTGCAAAGTAGTAGTGCTAAACCACATTTTAATTGAAATTGGCTTGCTATAAAAACCTTCCTGAAGCATGTGATTTTCTCTACATGCTAGAAAGTTCACCCATTAGAGCTAAGTACCTGTCTTAGGACTTCTCAGTGCCCTTGATCTTCATTCTTTCAACAGACATTTGGGCTTGGCATTGTCTGGAACCAACCCTTTTTCACTTTTCACCAACATCTGTATCCATTGTCCAAGTTTGTTCTATTCAATGATAAAAAGCACTTCTTTGTTTCTAGAAATGTGTTCACCTGTCAGAAATGCCCAGCTAAGTATGCCACAGCTGAAGCTTTGAAGAGCCATATGGTAACAGAATCTCATCATCATCCATGCATCAACTGTCAGAAGGTGTTCTCTTGTGAACGACTTCTTAGACGACATCTTCAAATTCATTCAACTATGAATCGCTTCAAGTATGTTTCTTGATATCAAGGTGTTGAAGTATTTGCTTTTCATGTAATGCATGTCCTCTACTGTGCAGACAAGCTTGCAGGAGCTTGTATCAGCTGACTGATTTTGCAAAGCTTTTCTCTGTGGAAGTTGTATTTTCATTGGGGTGTCTTATGCTGCTTCATATCTTTCAGAGCTAATGACTTTTAGTTTCACCCATTACATTTTCCATCATAGGTGTACAGTCTGTGACAAGTCTTTCAAACGTCTGCACTATCTCCGGGTTCATGAAGTCATCCATAAGCCTGACAAGCCATTTAAGTGCTCTGACTGTTGTGCTTCGTTCAGTCGCAAGGATCGGTTGAAGAGGCACGAGACTATTCATGAAAAGGTGGCTCGATTCAAATGCCCCTTCCAAAGTCACACTGGCTGCAAGAAAGAGTTCAGGCGCCCAGGTGGGACCCATGCTTCAAAAGTTTCAGTTTAATGCTTGGGTTCCTTTTTTTATTTTTATTTTGTGGCATTCCATTTTATATTCCTCAGATAAACTCAAGGCCCACATCCTGACCCATAGCTCTTCCAAACCATTCCGCTGCAAGTCTTGTGATAAGACCTTTGCCAAGAGAGTGACTTTGAGGACACACACAAAGCTTGTACATATCAAATCAGGTGTGACCTCTCAAGACACCTCTGTGCCTCGTGATTCTGCTGAGAAAGAAGACAAGATCTTCTGCTGTCCTTCTTGCCATAAGGTGGGTCTAGTCATTTTCTGGACTTTTCTTGAAGAGAGTAGGCCTCTTATACAGGGTGTTCATTTTACCAGTTACCCCAGATAAATGCAAATAATAAGGAACTATAATTCTGATATACATGAAACTTGGTGATATGAGAACTAAGACATTGTAAAGTGCAAAATGACTGTCACAGTCATTTTGCACTTTCTGTGACTGTGACATTTCTGTGACTGTGACTGTGATTGTCATTTTGCACTTTACTATGTCTTGGTTTTCATATCACCAAGTTTCATGTATATCTGAATTATGGTTATTTTTTTATTTGCATTTATTTGGATTAACTAATAAAATGAACACCCTTTACTTCTCTCCTGGGCAATGTCCATCCAGAATACAAGGAGGCTCATTTTCCCTTTTGGTGAATCCTCCACCCCTTCATTTCAATCTATCAATCTATCTATCTATCTATATATCAAACTATCAATCATGAGAATACTTAATGAAGTTGCCATCTTGTGAGGTGTTTGTCTCATTGAAAAAATTTCCAATAAAATGGAAATGGCTTTGAGTCAAGAGCAGCATGTTGGGTTCACAAAGTGCAGATTTTTGTTCCACAGTTTTGCCAATGCATAGCCTACTGTGGAGTAGTTACTCTTGTAGCCTTCCAGACAGCTTAAAGATTATTGATTGTAGATTGCAAGGTTTCATGTGAGATGGTTAATGCTTGGCTATGATATGAAATATTTCCATATTTGGTCCATTACTTCTGTTTCACATGAATGAGCCAGTGTATTGCAATACTGCAGATGGTATGATGTTGCTACAGTGACAATGTAGGGGGTTCTCATTCCCTGTAATAAACTTATAATGTGTTCTGGAGTGTGACAGAGTTGCCAGCATCTGTTGTTACACAGCACTGCTATCATGCTAATCTACCTCTTGATTTGAGGAAGGCAGTCCATTGTATACCTGCATTAAACTAAGTATTAGGTTGCAGTTGTGTACCTGCATTCATAAAAAAGGAATGGAACTATATTGTCAGCTGTTCTAATATGGTGTATATTTAAAAAAAATAATAATGCCATTTATTTAGAGAGTTTGATGGATTTTTAAATGTTAGCTGGAGTGAGAACCTTGTCTCATACTGAGTCACTTTCAGTTCTCATTGCAATCTCTTTGACAGTGCAAGTTAGTCAAGTCCCAACTCCAAACCATGTACTTTTACTTCTGTTCTCACCATGATACAGAGAGGAGTGTATTCTTGAAATAACATTCCAACCAGAGGGAAAAAATATATATCAGGCATATGCATAATGTATTCACAAGGTATACACTTGAACCACCATTAATCCACATGTTATGAGCTCATGTTGATTTTATGAGCAAAACCAATCCCTGTATTGAAAATGTGGATAAGACCATACCAAGTAAGTGATGGGATAAACCTTAAAGGTTTCATTGCTTCATTTCCAAACTGTATAGTATTGCATATTGTCATTGTTTGAATATCTGATATGCATAGATACAACAGTTCATCTCAGTTCAGTTGATGGGTCTGATTATTTTTCTGTTCCACTGTTCTGCACAGGCACAAGTGATAATCCTCAAGAAAGTAAAGATATTGGGTGGATTGCATAAAACTGACTTAAGCGTAATGGAGCTTTAAACCTCCTTTAGTGCTAGGAGGTTTAAATCCACCTATCATCCTTTTCAGCAGCCGTGATTTCTACAACAACCTGACACAGGAGGGGAATTAGTGATTTGAGTAGTGCCAGTGAAAAGTTTTTACTTAGAATAATAACAGTTCTTTCCTTTGCAGGGTTTTGGGAACAAGGTGCATCTCGCTGTGCATGTGTGCTCCAAGAAGCCCAAAGAAGAGAAAGATCTTGAAGAAGTCCAGGTTGATGAATCCAGTTCTGATTCATAGTACACCATAGGTAGAGCTTGTCCTGGCTGGCAGGAGTTCATGCTGTGTTATGAAAAGGTTTCTCTATCCTGTTTCACCTCTCATCCGTCACTGGAGAGCTTCCAGTACTGTGGTGGTTGTGTCAGGTAAAGTTTCTTAGTTTATGTAGTACAAGTACATTTCTGTTTTTTTTCTTGTGTTTCTGTGCAGTTTCCCTGCATATGAAGAAGAAAACATGGAATGGACCCCCTCTTCTTGGAAGCAGAAAATAAATCTCACTAGTCAATTTGCTGATGCAGTTTTCTATTGGTCCATGAAAAAAAATTTGCCCTATGCACCACCTGAGATTGCTGGAGTCATTATGGTCTCAAAATAAAAAACTTTTAAGTCAGGTAGTGAAACATCTAAACTCGGCTTCTGATGTAAATCATGAAATCGACATGATTCAAGATTAATATTTAAATGACGGTGAGGTGATACTCATGAAAGCTGAAATTTCATTGTGAAATCATCTTTTTCCACCAAAGTATTGAATTGTGATTTCAAGTCATGATCACCAAATCACAAATTAGATCAAATGCTGATACTGCTTTTAGTTACTGAGACATGATGCAGATGCAATCCAGTATACGATTTAAATAAGATTAGAATAAAATCGTGATTTTGCCAACCTATAATTTAAGGACCATAAAAGGGTAACTGAAAGAGTTTAAATCAATAAAACTTACTGAACAAAATCAAAATGCATGTAACTAGTCCAGCATGGTCTCAGTCAGTGCATAGGACCTTGTGCAGTGGAAGTATTTGGTGTTTGCAGTTTAAGCATGGTGATTATTTATATATTTGTACTGTCTGATTCCAATCAGCTCCCTGATATTCAGTGGTTGTGTCTGTATTGTTGTCATGTGCTCATTGTATTCTCATTGACAAAAAAAAAAAAACAAAATGGGACATTATGAAAGATGGATTTCTTAAGTGGAAAAATTTGAGAAGCCTGAATGATGCAAGAGGATGATACCAGCAATTCCTATGTTTTGGCATTTCCTTGACTTCTCCTTGGAGATCATTGCAAAGGGAAGCAGGTTCATTGTGCATAAGAAATAGAAGTCTGAAATCCTTCTTATCAAAGGAAAAAAAGAGAAAGAATCTGAGAATCACATCTGATCACATTTCCAAAAGCTAGGAAACATGATTTCAAGACCTTAGAATCACTTGTGAAGATATTAGGCATTCAAGAAGCAGGCTTGCCATGTCCTCATTCAGTGGTCACTTTAGCTTGGATCTAGGTTTCAGTGTCAATGACTTGGGAGATGAGATCTTTCCATTGATTGCTTGCAATGAGTGGGAAAGGCATGAGGATGAAGGGAGGTCCGGTATGCATTGCTTCTCAGGGAAAACATGGCTTGGTATGCTCAAATGCCATGTCTTCACAGGGAATCTTCACTCCCTGTGGTCTTGTTTCTCTGCTTCTGGGGACACCATTTCATGGGATTTTTACATTCTTTATCTTATATCAAAGGGTTTCAACTTCTACCTCTATGTCTTTTGAGAAGCATGATCCTTAGTTCCAATACAATGAAACACCGTTTTTGCAGGTTCACATCAACATAGATTCAGATGTACCTCATCTGCTCTCGATGGGGCCATTTTGGAGTTGGTCATTGAAGAGGGTCACAGATCTCTAATGTAAGAAAGTGAAAGTTAGCTCATGCCTTTTCATCAGTGCCTCCCATTGATAAATGATGGATGAGTGCTGATGATGGGAGGTGAATGTATTTCCACTTTTTTTAAACGCTTTAATGAGTCCTGCATGGCCTCCATTGTGAACATGATACATGTAAGGTTTTCACATTTTTTAGTCTACTTAGTGCTCGTGGAGAGAAAAACGCTTTGCAATAAATTGCACAATTTGGTCTCCTAGTTGGACAGGAGAACTCTTTATGATGCAATGATTCAAGGGAAAAGACTTGACTCCCCAGGGGATTGACAGGGTCCACAGATCTCTGATGGAAGGAATAATTGACTATTTTCTCATGTCTTCTCATTATTACCTCATGTATGTTAGCCCTCTCTTGAATGTTGAAACATCTGTGTCCATTAGCCTGATTGAGTTTCCGTTTCAAGCAGGTTTAGTCTAGAGCAGTGGTTCTCAACTAGTGCGTCGAAATGTTGATGGATTGCAACAGATGAGTTGCAGGAGGATCAAATAAGCAAAAGGAAGAAAAACAAAACATATATAATAATAGTCTCTGAACCTGTGGGTCGCATAAATGTGGTAATCGGACTTGGTCGGTTGAGTCAAATGAAAGGTTTTGAACCACTGTTCAAGAGCATACTCCAATTTAATTATTCAAATCCCGAAGTATGTACTTGTGGGGAGACGTCAGCACGTTTTTTGTCGACATTGGTAAAATCATCTTTGATTTAGAATGGCCTGTAGGTTTTTTCCTCTTTCCCAGTAGACGTCTCAGAACGGTGCCAATAGTGTGGTGATGGACAGTAGAACATTTTAGAATTCCCAGTCGTTCATAATGTCCCACTTTTTTGACACGGATTGTATATGTCTGATCATGGTCGAAATTGTTTGATGCTAGTTATGGCTGTGATCATGGATGCTGGAAAACCTGTGAATGAACCGTTGTTTTTATGGAGTAACAATGTGTTTTTTTTTTCTGGGGGGAGGGGCATATAGGGCAAATGTGCACAAAGATTTATGTATGGGATTTTTCAAAAATGGAAATTCATCATGTCACTTTACAGGCTGTAATCCCTGGACCCCTTGGAAGTCGTCTGTTTGTTACAGTATTATTAAAATGAAAGACTTTCTCTATGCTGCATGTCGAAGCTGGTGAAAAGCAAGAGGAATTCCAACCTTCAAACCACTAGTTGGCATCCAGGCATTAAAATTATGTATTGCAAAAAAAATTATGTTCTGAATATTCCCGTGTCCAAAAGCGGCAAAAGAGCTTTTCATTACTGGTAATTTTTGGAAAGAACGAGGTGTGAGTTCATCACTTCGAAAGGGTGACACACGATTGATGGAAAATAGCCTTTATTTAAAATTAATATTTAAAAAATTCAGGGATCAAACACCCATATATCTCTAGCCCTCCAGGAACGTTCATCGTATGTCAGGATTTGTTTCACATTTGTACGAATGCCATACGTGTATGTCTGTATTCATGCCTGGGAATGCATGCATATTTTTTTTCTTCATTGGGAGTTCGAAGTTCATACCGAGAATGGACCTGATCTGTCCATAGGACAGGTTATGGTATTGTTGAGCGAGCTACTTTATGCCTTCGTTGTCGGTCTTTAAGCGTCATCTCTCAGGAACAGACGTGGAAAACTTGCCTCACATGATCTCGCACACGAAATACGTTTGGAACGAGCACGGTGTGTCGTTCCACTTCAATCCTTTGCCATCTCGATTCCACAGTTCGAGGCAGTGCTCTTCCTCCCCGTTTTCGTAGATGAAGTTGTTCGGCTCCCCGGCGTTCCAGTTCGTGTACGTCACCGGCTGACCCGTGCTGAGCCAGAAGAAATCTCCCTCTTCTCCCTGATCGGTCCCGGAAGTCCAGAAGTGCTCGTTGCCAAGACCTGCAGAACGGCCATGATTCTTCATTTTCGCTCGCGATCATAAAAAGGAAAGTAAAAGTTGCGAGCCTTCTTTGAATTCAGCGTTTAGGCAGTCCAAGCGAAATGAACATGGGACAGGAAGAAAGAAAGGGCTCGAAAGGGAATACAAAAGAACGCTCGGAGGCTGCGACTCCTATGCGAGATCGATGGGGGTCAGGGGGGCAATGAGGGGATGACTGCTTCCTCTACGTTTCCAATTGTCACTTTTACAAATGGGAAAAAAAAACTATTTATCAAAGCAAATCCGAGAGAAATGTGGCGTGCATTATGCTTCACATGGGAACATTTCGACGCGTCAGTGCAGAATTAACGGAATTACTGGCTGTGAAGACGCTCGCCGCGAATCCGGATGCGTTTCTACATGGGGGGGAAGGTGGTATTCGTTCAACTCGTTATCTCGTGAAGCAACACGACTGGAATAATTTAATGGCATTCTTTGATTGAAATGCAGATAACTTGACACCCCATCTCATATCTGAAGCGAGGAACAGGATATGTGACCAAGCATGAAATTCTTCAAAAGGCCAACCCCATTTAAACTTGCGGGTTCAAAAGCGTTTTATTTTCGCCTCCATTGAGCAATAAATACTTTTATTTTTCCAGAAACGTTTTATATAACCAAACAGATATTAAGTTTTGCACGTGTTTGAGTTGCGGTAAAAATAAAAAATTATATATATATGTATATAGTCAGTTGCGAAGTTCGAACCAGTAATTCCCCAAAAATGTCGACGAAAGCTTCGCATTGTTTTAGAGATACACGCAGGCATCTAGACGATTGCATAAGGAGCCTCATTTCCTATTCGAGGAAAGGAGGCTCGCCAGAAAAAAAAAAGAATTAATAATCTGTCCGAGATCTCGGTGATAGCGGCTGAGGGCAAAGGTGAGAAAGAGATGCTTAAAGTCATGACCCCTTTTTTGTCACGGATACCCGCTGGCCTTGTTTGGCCGAGCAGAAATCTGCATCCAGGACAAGAGAATTAATTCCATCTGCGAAAGAATGAATATCCAAATCTCAATCACGATGCAGCCGATGACACATCGCACGGTTAACGAGTGCTTGAAAAAAAAAACCACATATATATACATCATGATAGCGATAGACACATCGCCCGATTGCTCATCCGTCGTTCCCTCCCATCAGATGTCTTCGGACTGGAAAACGAGAATGACGCTATCGAACATCGATGCAGGAGATGGCATCACCTAATGTTGCCATCCAAGCATTAAAAGGGAGTCGCTGTCCCTCCGCGCGAGAATCGTGCCCGGACGATTGCATCACGCATCCGTCCCCGCAGAAGTCGCCACCGAGACGAGAATGTCGTCCTCCTTCGGGAAGGGAACGAAGGCCACGTTCTCCCCCCCCCCCCCCCTTGCCCACCCCTGTCCACGCGACAAGGGAACAGAATGGACTCACCTCTGCTCGTGATGACCTTCTCCAGTTGCTCGTTTTCCTCCTGCGATGTGATGCTCGCCAGGTGCATGCCGTGGTAGCGGCAGAACTGCATGGCTTTGTACCAGTTTGCCTGGCGAAAGAGAAACATTTTATTTCACAATTTTTATCTAACTTCGCGGCGGGAGAACACCGGCTCGAGTTCGACGCGTCTGAAGCGACGGAACGCAACGCGAACAGGAATTGTTTTCCCGTCGACCGCGACTATATATGGTCGTCACGATCACCCGGACGTTCCACTAATTACCTAATTACACGGTACCGTACGTGTGAGCGTCGACGATGGAGGCAGCTCATCGTTCCCGGCACGAAGGTGAAAGGTGCGTGAAAAAAAAAACGCGTCTTGGAAGCCATCGAGAACGTTCGCCATCGGCTTCCTTTGACCGAGGCGGAAATGCAAATCCCGGCGAGGACCCCTCGTTTTCGCGAGCTCATCCGCGGGTGAAACCCGACGTCGAAAGGACTTCCGGGTTGGCGGAATTTCAAGCCTGTCGCAACGCGTCGATCTCTTCCGCACTTCGGATCGAAATGCGAAACCCGAGAGAGAGAGAGAGGGAGAGAGAGAAGTCCGGCGGAATGACCGTATGTCATCATTCGTAAGTGTCGTAACCAATGTGCGGTTTTGCCGTGAGACCATTTCGCATCACCGCGCTGGATTCCCGCTCCCCATCGTTATGCAACGATTTCGAAATCCAAAAAATAAATAAATCTCGAGAGAGGGAGAGGGAGAGGGAGAGGGAGAGGGAGAGGGAGAGGGAGAGAGAGGGAGAGAGCGAGAGGGAGTGAGAAACTGACTTTGAAGAAGAGTCCGAGGTAGTAGCGCTTCTTGCCCATCTCAGTGACGGGCATGCTCCATCGCTCGATCACGTCGTTGGCGGAATCGCCTTCCAGGCAGTTCTCGCATTTCCCTCCCGCGAGTGCTGGAAAATAAAATAATTAAAAATTTTAATTAATTAATTAAATTTCGTTTCGAAATGTGGAAATTGCATGTGGTCGAAATTAGTAATGAAAAAAACAAGAGTTGCGAAAAATCGGTTTCGACCCGTGCGATCGCTCGACGATAGGGGCGTGCCAAGGTCGGCGGGGTCCACCCGACCTTCCGGGTGAAGAAGATCCCGGGGGAAGGGTTAACAACGTCCCGGGGAAGGGTTAACAACATCGAGGGAAAGTCCACCGAAGGGTTGCGTAAGGCTTGCGGGGTCCGCGAGGAGCCACCCGTGAAAGAAAGAAAGGCCGAATGAATGATTTCGCGATTATTTTCCGCCGGGAGTCCCCGCCCCATCGACGCGATGCACCGACACGATGCACCGACGCGATGCCTCGGAGTGATGCATGGGACCGGCGTCACCCAAGACATTTTTCAACCGCGAAGACCATTATGGTCAGGCCTTCATCGGAAGTGAAAGTATGTGTCACGGGCACAAACCGAAATCGAGGCCCTCTTTTCCCCATTAGAGAGTCGCATCTCTCTTCCTCCTCTTCCGCTTCTTCCTCCTCTTCTTCCACCTCTTTCTCCTCTTCCTCCTATTCCACCTCTTTCTCCTCTTCCACCTCGTTACGTCGGGACGATGCGGAACACATTTTTGGTGCATGCCATTGCGGTGGCGTTTCTTTCGCCGTTTCCGTGTGCGAGTGGGCCAGGGAACGCGATCGGGGATCGACCGGTTCTGTCCCGTTCTGTCCCGTTCCGTCCCATTCCGTGCCACGATATATTTGGATCGCGCGAAGGACATTGCCTCGGCTGGGTCGGATCGCTCGGAATGGAGAGAAAAACCGTCGGGGAGGGAGAAACATCATTAGATATTGCAGCCACTTAGCCATAATGTTCCATATGAGGAAATTCATTGTGGGCCTCCGGCCCACGTCATTATAAATAGGAACGATTCCGATTTTTTTTTTCGCGGCAGATCATTATCCATGAATCTGGTTTGGCCTTTTTTTTTCTCCTTTTCTTTTTCTCCCTGCAGGAACGCATGCGAAGGAAGCGAAAGAAATGCGGCAATGATGCCACAACGCCCGCAATACGAGTCAATTTCCACGCTCGTTTCACCCGAACCTCGTCCGGGATGGAATGCCACGACCGTGACACGATCGCGGCATGATCTCGCCCCTGCACATTCTTCGTTCCGTCGACTTTCTCGGACAGCCGTGGAACGCATCATAATCGCAGGATGTTTGAGATCTCCCCCCCTCCCCCCCCCCTCACCCCCCCACTTTCCCCCGAGTTTCTTTGCGTCTTCTTCCCACGCCTCCTTTCGTGGATTCGCACGGGGGTAATTCTCCATCCCCTGCAATTCCCAATCCCCTACAATGCTCCATCACTTGCAATGCTCCTTCCCCTGCAATTCCGCTCCATGACGGCAACTTTTCATTCACGATGTCGCCCTCGTTCCGCGCGTCCGTTGCGTAAGAGCCGTATTCAACGCCGAGTAACAGCTCCGACCCGATGACAAATCCTTCTCAGCTGTCGCAAATTACCTCGCTGCTTTATGAAATTACCTCTCCGATGTCGCAAATTGCCTCTCCGGTGTCGCAAATTGCCTCGTCAGCAGGACCGACGCTGCAAGAACCGAAAGCTCCTCGGGAGATCGACTGGCCTCGTTCACGCGTCCGCACGATCGACAAATCTCTCCGGGGAGAGGCGAACCGGTTCCGAACGAGATCGGGAACCCACAACTCATTCTTCTGTCACCCTCTTATCGGCCATTTTGTCGGAGCGATCGAGAGCGAACTAATCGCTGCAGATCGCGTCAGAGATTCGAGCCGCGCATTAAAATTTCCCTTAAAAAAAAAGAAGGTCCTTACACAGCACGTCGGGCGGATCGGGCACGGGCGCGGGCGCGGGCGCGGATCGCAGCGCCGGCTTCCCCGCGCCGGGCTCCGGGCTTTTAACCCTCTGCGACAGCCTCTGGATCGCGGGAGCGGGCCTCGGGACCTCCGGCTGGGCGTGCCGCGCTCGCACCACGCTCTTCCCGTCCTCGTTCAAGTACTTGCCCAGGAGCAGCTGGGCGAGCAGCTGCCGCGGGTCCGAGGACGCGTCGTCGCCGGCCCCTACAACATAAACGGCCACCGTTTAGTTCCGCGAAAGTAACCGCGTTCGCCGACCGATGTTCGCGGCGGCAAGAGAAACAGAGGGAGCCCGGACGGACGCGAACATGCAAATCCTCGCAGGAAGAAAAACGGACCCGGCGAAGGTGGAAGTACCGCTCGTGAGAACCGCTCGTGAGCGCCGCTTGTGAGAGCCGCTTGTGACGAGAATCCTTAACGAAGGAAGATGAAAAACGAGACGCTGTCTCCGCCGTACAACTTTCGCATCGGCACTTGTCCCTCATTAATCGAAGGCCCCTCGCCCCGAGAGTGAAAGGTCCCCAAACGACAAATCGCGTCCCTTCCGCCCCTCTTGTTGCATGTGGTCACCTTCCCTCTCGTCGCATGTGGTCACCTTCCCCCGTGTCGCGCGTGGCCACCTTCGTACGTGACCGATTTACGCCGACGATCGAGTCGTGAGAGGAGACGATAGGTCGTCGGATCATCGCGACGATAATCGGCAAAATGAAAAGTCGATCGATAATCAGAAAAAAAAAACAAGCTTTTAAAGCGAACAAAAAAACTATCGAGACGCCGACCGCGCCGAAAGCAGACCCGAAAATAAAAGTAAAAAAAAAAAAATAGCTGCAAGGGAATCCACGCGCCCCTCGCATCGAAGCGAGATAACATCGACACGGATTCTTATCTCTCTCGCAAACGGCAACGAAACGATAAATAACGCATCAACTCCGTTCCGTCGCTCAGGGTGAAAGTAGAACGGCTCCCGCTGCCACTTCGGAACGAACCGAAGAAAAGTTTTTTTTTTTCCTGTTTTCGTTGCTCAAGTCCTGACCCGGTCCCGAGGAATCGGGAAGTACTGGTCGTCCAATCTCAGAAACGACATGAGGAAATGGGTGCCATTTATCATAAAGCTTGCTGTCTCAAACCTGTTTTATTTTTTTTCCTTTTCTTTTTCTTTTTTTTTTTTATTTTTGCCACTCTGTGGATCGAGGAGCGGTCCTTTGAGCGGTCCTTCGAGTGGTCCTTTGAGTAGTCCTTTGAGTGGTGCTTTAAGTGGTCCTTAGGATTTCTCGGGTGCCGGTGGCAAACTAGTCCGACGCAAGAGATAATTACTAGGCAATTACTCGAACTATCTTGGCTTTTTTCCCCCCCCCTACATTTGTTTCTGCGATTTCATTTCGAAAATGAAGAATCTCCCTCGGGGAGATCGCAAGATGGCCAACCGGAGATTTAATATTTCCCCTGGAGATACTCCAGCTGCCAAATCTGGGACTTCGGCCGCTGAGCACGTCGGAGGCCTACTCAGCCGAACACAAAAAATAAATATATGCAGTATATAAAAGGCCTAGGCTAAGGCTCTCAGGCCCGAACACAAACTGGAATCCGGCGCGTTCCGTCCCGCCAGGGTTGCGCCTCGCAGTGATGCGCGATGTCGCAGTGGCCCGTCGCGACGATTTTCAACGTATTTGACGAACGAAGGCCGCGGCGACGTTTTCCTTATGCCCACGTGTATCCGGGTTAATCAGTTTTCCTTCCCATTCAGGCAGGTCGGTATTTTTTCTGTCCGTCGATGGGTTATCTCGATATTCATCTTTATTACGACTACGACCTTCAATCTTGCCTCTCAACGAGGCGAGCTCACGAGTATTTGTCCAGGACGTAATTACTCCCGGGGAATATTAATTATCCGCCTACTGACGAATTCATAAATTATGATAATCAAATCTAAGCATCGTTTGCCTGGGAGAAAGTAAGCGTGACCAATCGCGGGGCGGGTGCCACGGTGCTCGGAGGTCATTCTTCGTATTGAATCATACATGAATTTGTCTCCTTTTTTTACTTTCTTCTTTTCTTCTTTTTTTTTTTCTTTAGAGAGATTGGGCCTC